GGAAAGAGCAACAAGTGAGTTTTCAAACCATTTCAGCAGAATGACTTGCATGAGTCAGCCAACTGAGTGTGCTCATTAAGAACTTGCATCTTTTCCCACTGCTACCTCACCTCTAGCTATCAGTTTGAAGCTGCCTAGCTCACTTCCTTTAAATCCTCATTTCTGCCAGGTGTGACAGGAGAATTGAGTTTACTGTGGCTGTTCTTCAAATCCGAAATAGTTAGAGAAAAATAGTCATAACAAATGAAACATGCAGCTTATCTATGCTTGCTAATTTAGGAGCAAGTGACAAACCAGGAAGAACTGTGGGTAGTCGTGGTCTCTTAGGGAGGGTTTACAACTTATTTCTACACATTTTGACTGTTTATCAAGAAGGAAGCAAATGGAGACTTTCACATCAGCTCACCTGGGCTGGAGAGAGAGAAGCAAACCAACAGAAGAAATCTAGGTTCTACAAGAGAGTAACTCTCTATTCCAGTACAAGAATAAGAAACAGCGTGTTCCATCCCGTTTGTGGCAATGACTACAGTTGGCCAGTCATCAAATGAAGGTGAAATAAACCTGTTGGGGCCTGTATATAATAAGCATCAACTAAAATCTGGTCTAAAATACTTAAAATAACTAATTTACCCCGATATCACTATGGCTGCAAGTTAAAATATAAGAGGAGATGCAAACCAAAATACCATGTGGTGCTTTGTCTCCGTGAAGTTTCCTGAAGCCACTGGCAAACAGGAGAAGTTTCTCATATCACAGAAGTTGCAGGAGAACATTTACAAAATCCAAAACACTCACCTAAAACATAAGCAGCTACTAACTTTTGATTCACACTTAAATGGAGGTAGAGAGGCACCAGGGATTCCATTTCCCCCAACGTAGGTAGCATTAGTGCTGCAACACACACTATTCCTAGGAAGACTGTTAGTAAACTAGGTCCCGACGAGGCAGTTCTGTTTTCTGGAAAACAACACAGAAACAAGAGTGAGGAACATCTAACCAACACAAATGTTAAATGTTCTGCAAACTTGTTCACAGTGCACTGGAGCTGCAATATCATAAGATTTTCTTCCCCCTTTGGAGTTTGGAAGGGGCGGAAAACAACTTCTAAACCTTCTGCATTTTGCAGTGCAGAAAGCTGTTGTGATGAAGGCTTGTTCTGATGCTGGAACTTGTTTTCACATGACTTCCCAAGGCCCTCCCTTCCGGAGGGACAGAGCCTGCCAGGCCCAGCAGCTATACACACAGACACGCTCTCCTGGCAGCCGGCTGTTTGGCAACACCTGAGGTTTCACCACGCAGCCTTACTCCATTCCTTGGTGTGCTCCTTCAGCGGCTGCTGATCGATTAGGAAGGAACATCTAGAAGAGCTGCATAGGCAGATAGCTGCTTACATCTCCAGACCAAACCTTGGCTACACCAAAAGATTTCTTGGGCCAGGTGAGCTCCTCATCCTTCTTTAGGACTCAAGGGCTGCACCTTTAACCAGTTTATATAACATGAATTAGTAATATTTGAATCTTGCTTTAAAAACTCTGAGAGTGAGCCACTCTGACAGTCCAGTATCACCAGAATAAGCAAATGAAAATTATAAATGAACTGCCCCTCATACTGCTTATGGCACCACAGTTTTAACAGTTGGAACCTACTCAAAGGCACATTGTGTAATCTTTGAAAAGAGCTGTTAACATGTTAGTTGAATATCTCTAACCAAATTCTTAAGACCCACTGGAAATGAGCCAACGTTTTTTCAGGTTTTTCTATCCTCAGTGACTAGCAATATTTGTCCTATTTTAATTCCATAAATCTGTTATTTCAAGGTTGTAGGTTATATGCAAGGACTATACTTGCTTTGTTTACTGTTTCTGTAAGCAAATGATGTAACACAGTCAACAAGGCTTTTCAGCAGAGAAATAGCATTTGGATTAAGACCAGTATCAGATTGTCCAGGGTGGTTCAAACCCTCTGTAGGGAACAACTATCACAGTAACATTTTGTTCTGTGAGCTCAGGGATACTGTAGGTTTGCTTTAACCATGTATCCTACTAGTACCTATCTTCAGGGTTTTTTTAATAAAAAGTGTTTCACCAGCACACAAACTGTGTATAAATAGTGTAACAGTTTGGTTTTAACAAGAGGAACACTCTCAAGCGGGTTCTTCTACTTTCTAGAACTGATTTTCATTCTAGTAATGAAAAATAAAAGTGACAATGTTACAGTATACATCAGTACAAGTAACACAGAGGTAGACTGTCAAGTCATAAATCAGTTTAAGATTCAGTTCTGGCAAAGCTTGATACTTTTTATATCTCCCCCTACCACTTCAATTTAACTGTTCAGCCCAGGTTTTGCCCCAGACTGCTGGTTCCCTTCCTCATGTATGAAACATGCAGAGTTCTCAGCTAGCAGCTGTGCTTTTCTGTACTTGTGAGACAGACAAAGGAGATGGAGCAGAACAAGGAGCACTTCAGAAGATGTTTTGGCAATATTTCCTGCTCATCAGGAAATGGAGGATTAAGGGTTTGGAACAAACTCAGAAGGGGCATATGTTCTGAAAGAGCCCAAGGGAAAAAATAACTACCATCCTTTTGCAGATAAATTCCCATTGGCTGTAGCAGAACTGCTGCACCAGAGGAGTAGAGGACGTACTCTCCAAGGTGTGACATGCAAACATGGGGCAGCGAAGTCTCTGGATTAATAAAGATACCATAAGCAAAATAGCCAGAATTTGGAGCCTTGGGCACTATCATCCCAGTGATAAAAGGCAGCAGTCTTACAGGTAGGTAATCGATCGATCCTTATGTCAGGTAAACCAAATTACTTTAAAATTTAGTCTGGTCTTTCTAGTCACTTGTTACTGATTCAGAAGACAGAAGGGGTAAAAGATTTCAGCTACCTGGTTGACACAAAGTCTGCTCAAAAAAGACACTTTCAGCCAGGTGTTCTTTTATTCGTTTTTCCTCCTCTTCCTTTTGTTGTTGTTGTTCCTTTGCAGATGGAAGCAGAGTAGCAATGATCTCCTTTTTCCCTAGTGCTTTCCTCTGGCTCTGCTCAGACACTTGCAGACGGAACTTATCTATCACACCATAGTACGACGCCCGAACGTCTCTGTGACGAATCACACTGCAGAGGAAAACACTTTCAAACTGAGGAACTAAAAGAAGCATGTCTCCTATGAAAGTACATCCTACATATTTCCCCTCTTTGCCCCTTGACACAAATACATTGCAGTAGTCCAGATCCATGTTATCTCCTCCACCTCAGTGTTCTTGAAGATTTGATCTTGCCTCCTCTCTCCCCTTTTTATGTTCACTCCTATTTGATTCCAAATATATATGCTCCAATTGGCTGGACAAAAAGAACAGTTAATTCTCTACCTCAAGCACACCCTTGCCTAAGCTTGAAGCCTAGCTGCCAATTTGCATGGGCTGACAATTATCTCAAAGGTGCTTCCTCCTTTATCAAAGCTGTTCCATGCTGGCCAATGATTTCAAATGGTATGGAAGAACTGTAGTGGACACGGAAGGAAAGAAGCAAAGCAGGGCTGCCCAGCACTTGGACAGGTGATGGCAGAAGTCTAGCTTTTTGAGGAAACCAGGCTCAAACCCTTACAATTATACTTTTTCAGAAGTAAAACTCATTCCCTCTATGAACAAGAGTCAGCGAGGTATAAGGGGACTTTCAAAATCAAAAGCCCACCCCTAAGAGCATGTGACAATGCAGTAGAATGACAGCTCCCTAGCTGCATAAACTTTGTCATCTGTCTACCAGCAAGTCACTCTGGATCCAACAGCAGGGCCCTGTGCTGTCAGAGCTACCTCGAGCACATTGCCTTGAAACACACCATACCTCACTAGCTACCCAGAGCTACACCTGCTGCAACCACACCTCAGACTGCAGTGTGGACACACCCTCTGAGTTACAGCTAGACTGTCAGTTATGTTCTGAGTGAACCTTCTCGCTGTCAGCAATCACTCTGTTTGTTACTCTGCTGCTTTGAATGTGTTGGCCCAGGTGTCTTCAACAGTGAGACAGGGTTGTTGCGTTCCTTCTACTTTTATGACATTTCACAGGAAAATTCTACATGGGACCTACAAAAGGTACAGTTTTAAATAATGCTGAGCAGTGCTCTGCTCAGTGGCCCCCTCTCTGCAGTTATCATTCGTTATAAAAACATGTATCTAGCATTAAAAAGCAGTAACATTTGGGTTTTGAAGTAGTATTGGCTCTTAGGGTTAATGTGGTTTTTAATTATTTTTCCCAAGTGGAAGACTTTTTCTGTGAAAGGCTGCTCTAAATTTCTAATATAACAATAGCTAATCCGAAAAAAATACCTACGTATAAGTCATTAGGCTTCAAGAAGGTTGTCATCTCCTGAGGGGAAAAAAATTATTCTAATCTTACTAATACAGGATAGTAGTCCTAAAATTGCTTCAACTAGCCTATCTTTGTGCTAATCTATGCATTAAAATGCCGCAAGAAACAGATTTCTATTTCAGCCTTCATTTAAAGGAACTGTATCACATCACTAGCACATGGCCAGTGCTAGTAACTGCTATCTAGTTTGAATAGACTATTCAACAAGGAAGCAGAGACTAAGTCATCCCCCAAGCCGAGAGGGCTGCAGGAATGTACGTAATTTTACATCACTTTAGAGGCAAAAGAGTGTGCTTATGACAGGCTTTCAGCAAGCTGAGTGTTGGCTGGGCAACTGCCTTCACTAAAACAAAAGGCTTTTTCCCCCCCAACAATCCTAATTCATACAACTCTCAGCATATCAGAACAGCAGATTCAACTCTTATTTCTTCCTTTAAGACCTTTTAATTCCTCAGTACCATGGTACTAATGACCAACCTAAACAGAATCTTTACATAACACTGTGCTATGAGAACACGCATCTGCTGCCAAGCAGAAAGATGTTTTCTGCAGACCCTTATAAACAGATACATTCTCCTGTTTCTTTTTAGAGACCATTGCATAATTGGAAGCTCTGTAGAATATCTGTTTATCTGGCAAATGGCCACACTTGCCTAGTACTGCTCATGTCCTAGCAGTAAACACTGCCCTTAGACAGCGACCGTTGGAATGGGATGGGGGTTCTGCTGCACAAAATATTCCCTGGAAACATACATGTGTCTTACTTTCCTTTATTTAACAAAAAAACATTTGTTTAAGATTAACCAAATGTAAACAAGCTTGTGTAAATGTCTGCTGAAGACTGGAATAACCCACTGATACACTGGTATATTCTGACCTATTTTGTTCCATTTTCAGGATTGTTGCTCCTGCTCGCTGAAACTTTTTAGTTCTATGTTTTAAACCTTCTTTCTCTTTGGTGAGTCCTTGGAATTTTCCAAATTACACCTAAGGAAAACAGTCTACAGGAAAGAGTCATTCCCCAACCACAATATTACTTAATCTGACAAAAGATGGGTCATTCAGTAGTGGAGTTTTTTTTTTTTTTAATATGGCCATTTTTTAGCCAGAGATTCCAGAAGGTGTTTTACAGTTCACATATTTCTATTCAGAAAGCTCAGCCTGCTCTTTTCAGTGCTGCATACTTTCTCAAGCTGTACCCGTCCATCAACACAGAAATAATGAATGTGATAAAGAAAACATGAAAAAAGTTACCTTATTTTAGCTTATATGCCTACTCTACTTTGAATTATAGCAGTCTGCAGACCTTATACACTACTGTGTCACTTAATTGCCTTATTTTCCCTGTGATTGGCCTGGGACCTGACAGGAGAAACAAATAAATGGGAGACAGAGACATCTGAGAACAAGCGAGGTGATGACAGGCAGAGGAAAGTGCGTTTATTAAACATAGCCCAAGAAAGCCTGCTCAGTTTTCCCGGGCACACATCTTCATTTTGTCAATCTGCAAACAAATATTCCTCACAAAGAAATCCCAGCCCTGGGGGGGTCTTGCTTTTCTTGTTATTTCTAACAAAGAAGTACTCAGAGGAGGCTTATATTACTCTCACTGCTGCTTTACAAGCTACACTACAGGATGCATTGACTAGGATTTTATTTATGCCTAAATACAAAATTAAATGAGGAAATATCTCCCATATTGTAATACCTTTGCCCTAGAGTGAAAGAACAGCAAAGACCAGACGGCCACAAGAATATAGGAAAATATATCTTCATACAACTTATACTAGGAAAAAAACAGACAACTGACTTGTACTTACATATCAACACAGCACTGAGGCTTCACTGCACCAGTAGCATCCACCACCGCATATTTACTGGGAGTCGTACAAAGAACTGCAACAAAAGGGACAGTGGTGGTAACAGACCATGAATGAATCCCTCATCAGCTTCATCAACAGACACACATGGAGACACGAGTTTGGTTTTGTCACACATATGCTTTGTTACATGAATTGTAATTGGACTGTTCAAGATCACCAACTAACCTTAAATAGAACTTAACCTAAGAAACCCACCTTTGAATTTTAAGGCAAACTCATAGGGGTTATATAGAGTCAACACCTGCTTGTGTGTTGACTGGTCATCTGCATAAAATATAAGTTCTGTAGGAAAAACAAAAACAGGAAGATTTCCTTCCACTAACTCTGGCTGTCTTTTTTGTTGCTGCATTGGCACTGAATCCTCCTTGCTGCTTCTTGTGTTCTTATGATTTTGTATCCTCAGAGACTTCAGTTTTTGAATCGTTTAAGAATTCCAAAGCATTTTGGCAATTCTAAAGGAAAAAAGGGGAAAAAAGAGAAAAGGCAAGAAGATTATTTCCATAGGTCTATACTAAACTGAGGCAGTCGACAAAGGTGTAAAAATATAGAATGTGATGCTTGGTTATGGATCTACCTTGGCTTAAGTACCTTCAAAACCACAGAAACAGAATAACTGCATTTGGTTTCCATCTATTTAACAAATTGCTATAAAATAAATGGATAACCAGTTCTTCAGTGTATCATGGCAGCATTTTGGGGTCCCAGCTCATGACTGGGGTTGCTTATTCTTGGTCTTTGCAACACAAACCAAACAACAGCAAGAAGATACCCCATCCTCAGGACACTAGGCTTGAGAAAAAGCAGAGCAGAGATGAGGAAACGTGGAGAGGTAAGGCAGCAGCAGTCACCATGCAGGCAGGAATCTCTCTGCAGTGGTGACCTTCCTGAATGAGGTCTAACAACTCAGGTATCTGCCCATATAGGCACTGAGGTATGTCAAATCCCAGAGATTCAGAGCCAAAGAATGGGGAAGACCTTCATGCCTTGTTTAAACTAAACTCTGGTTAAAACTGCATGGTACTTACAGGCAACAAATTGAAAAGCAACAGGCATGAATAATACCAAACAGATTTGGTAAAAAAAAAACAGAAAAAAACCTCCAATTTTATTACAAAAGACTGGTTTTATAGCACCACTGTCTCTAACCAGAGTTTATCCATTGCAATTATCCCCCTGCCACCCCCATGGTTTTATTTTAAGTGACATTCCAGAACTAAAACCAGAATCCATGACCCGACCAAGCAACAATCCCAAATGTAATTCATAAAATAAAATTAAGGCCAGACTCTTCAGCACACATACCACTGACTTTACACACCACAGACAGAACACAGTGAAACAGTTACATATATTTTTCCCCCCAAAAGAACATATTTTACTGTAGCTCCTATAGGTTGTCAAACTGAAGTTGTCCTCTGAGGCTTAACTTTATTCTACAGTAGAAGATATTAAAAGGACAAAAGTTCCTACTGTCTCATCACCTGTCATTCCCACTTCGAACGAGGCTGTCTAAAACAAGGTCCATTTCAGCTCTTCTCCAGCCTAATGAACTGATTTGGTTGCACCTTAAGAAGTTTAGTTTCAGAACCTGCCAACAGCAGCTAGCCCTAGCGTTATGAACAATCAAAAATAAATGCTTATTTTTGCATTCTAAACATCATGACGTTCACATTTCCAAGCACCAGATAAGTTTCATACTTGAAACATGACACAACTTTAGGTGTTTACTGGAGTATATTTGTCAGATCTCCAGATTTACAGGTTCTGATTCTTACCCACAAACTCAGATTTTGAATTTATTTCTTTCTAAAAATAGCAAATCATCCCTGTAGAATTTAAATTCATGGCTTTTACTGGAATGCTCTTCCCAAAGATCCAGTTTCTTTTCAGAGCACAGGTTTGTTTCCACTTCACTGAATGCTACTAATAATATTCTGAAAACAAATCCCCAATGACAGTGTTCCAACCTGATGTTTTGCTACCTTATTAAGAAGAGCCTAGAAGAAATAGCTCTGTAAGTGGCAGTTTGGGTTCTGAGCACTTCTTAGAATTTTGGTGAATCCCTTTTGCTTCAGAGAGATTAGCAAACTCTGGGATCACTCTGTGCAGCAAGTGCAAGCCTTGAAACATGACCAACTTTATGTATCAAACAACTTTATGTATCTTTGCAAAGTGAGATTCAGTGTTCCACTTGAATATACTCAGACTATACGTAGAGCTAGTGCAGAAAAAAAAGCCAGCTTGTAAAAATACAAAATAACTTATTTTGAAACTTCTTGTAGGCAGATTAAGGATTTTATTGTATTTTTACAAAAGTTAGCTCAATACAGCATGTAGTAAGCATATGTGAGAATCATTTGCTCTCATACATGTCTATGCTGCACACATTACACATAAATAACAATCTTTGAATTTACATAAAGCTTTTTTCCCCCCTAATAAATGCTTCATACTACCATATAGCCAAGAGCAAACTATCGCTAGATATTTTAAAAGTTATTATATTTAAGAAAAACTTTAAAATATTACTTCTAATAATATCATTTTGATGCTTTGGGGTTTGTATTTATAAACACTGGACATGTTTCCTTCTGATTCCTGGTGAATCAGGAATTCCTGGTCTTTCATTCCTGATTCCACAACTCCAGTTTCTTCAGTTCAGCCAACAGCATCTGTTTAGGCATCCAAAACCTCACAAATCACATCAGTGGAGGTACAAATTACTAAGCCTATTAACTACCTCATTCTTCTTACATACCCATTGAAAACACAGTGCATAAACCTCCCAAGTTTCTACAACTTGCAGGCGGAAAGCCACCAGTCTTAAAAAGTATATCCCATTACTGCTTCCCTTTCTTATTTAACTTGGCTGGCAAAAGTAATATCTGGCAAACTCAGGCCTATAGTAGACATGTTTGCTGACAGCAGTGTCATTTTGGGATGTAAATTTCTAGATTTCTAAGCAGCATCCTTCTTGGGACAATCATTTTGGCTTAGAAGACATCTCGCCAGAATATCTTGCTACAGGGCACTGGATAAAGAGCCACACCCAGACCCCACCAGCTTGCTCTCCAACGCTTCCCAAAGTCCAGACAAACAATTGTCACTGCTAGTTTTTTAGCACAATAAGGATCTTTCCTCCCCGAAGTTACTAAATATATACTGCTGGTGTCACAAAAGCACAGATCTGCCAGTGTTTCCTTTGAAATCCCTTTCTTCATAAATTAGACAGAGAAAAAAAACAAGTGAAACATAACTTCTCTCTAGGGTCAGAAAAAAACACTGACTGTGATTTGTTCTTACTTAACAAGTATCTGCTGAAAAAAATAAATCAAGTGAGGAAGTTTTTTGTTCCCATTTTAACTGCCAACAGCCTCATCACCATGGCTTCCTAGTGCATTTTGTTGGTTGTTTTTCCTCCTAACAACTGCAAATAACTCTACAGAATGTCACCTGGTAAACACTTGATTCAGGAGATAACCTCTTCACAGTCATAGTCTCCACATTCTCCTTTTAAAAATTGCTTAATTACAGTGTAATCTTATTTTTTATATCTCAAGATCTACCCTCTAGATCTACACAATAAGCTTTTCTACACTATATACTCAATAAAATTGATGTCTTTTAAGCGCATATTTACAAAATAAGTCACAAAGCCTTCTTCAAAATTCCCTCCTATGCCACCATGAACAATTACTTTAAGCTACATGTAAACACAGCACACGGTCTAAAAAGAGATCTACCAACATTTTGTTTCTTCAAAAGTTTTCGAGGGCCTCAACGTGCACTTACGCAAACCAATGCTTAAACTACCTGCAATTATTTGGGACAGTCACCCATGATTAGAGCAGCGCCAGCAGCCAGGATGGCTGCATTCCATTGCTGCTAACTCTGTCACCGACACTCCGTGACCTTGAGCAAGTTGGTTAACCTCACCTCAATTTGCTAATCTATGAAGGCACATATTCTGTAAAGTATTTAAGTAGGCGGACAGTCACATCTGAACTGGCAGAACTACTCTGACACTTCCCAAAACCTGGTCCAAAATACACTGCTGTTTACCTCTTTACAGAGTGATGAGAAATGAAGTCGTCTCAGATCGTTACCTATTAGCACAGATGACTGCAATATGCATAAATCATGCTGATACTGACAGCAAAATTTATTAGGATCACGTTTTTTCCTTTATTTTTTTCAAATGCTGAAAAGGTAAAAGCAACAAAAAAAATGTATTCAAATGTAACTAAGAGACGTGCAAAAGCTGGGAAAATGAAATCACAGCTGTGCATTGCTTCTGGTCCATTCTACTACACGGCTCAGAAGAATCCTGTGGAAGACTTTCAAGGCCACACCTGCTTCAGTCTCTATTTTCTCAGCTCCAGGTTGTGTTGAATGCACCGAACTGGCTCTTTTTTAAACTTGTATTGTGCTCATTAGTGCTACGTGGCCTTTTCCCCTGTCTTGGACCAGATTCGAATCCTCAGCGCAAAGGCCGATATGCCACCGATTAACGGCAGGATCTGCTCTCTGCTCGGCGGGCAGGGCACGGCCTCCTGCCTAGGTGCGGGCAGAGCCAGCGGCGACTGCACACCCCTAATTGATCCTCTTTGTTCTCCAGCAGCGAGCGGCAGCGATAAAGGCCGAGTGAGGCACCCGCGGCCTCTCCGCGCAGCCC